TCTTCAAGACTCTACAAATTGTTACTCTAACTCTTCAAGACTCTACAAATTGTTACTCTAACTTTTTGGACTCTACAGATTGTTATTCTAACTCTTCCGGACTCTACAGGTTGTTACTCTAACTCTTCAAGACTCTACAAATTGTTACTCTAACTCTTCAAGACTCTACAAATTGTTACTCTAACTTTTTGGACTCTACAGATTGTTATTCTAACTCTTCCGGACTCTACAGGTTGTTACTCTAACTTTTTGGACTCTACAGATTGTTATTCTAACTCTTCTGGACTCTACAGATTGTTACTCTAGCTCTTCATGATTCTACAGATTGTTACTTTAACTCTTCAAGACTCTACAAATTGTTACTCTAACTGTTCATGAGTCTACAAATTGTTACTCTAACTCTTCAAGACTCTACAGATTGTTACTTTAACTGTTCATGATTCTACAAATTGTTACTCTAACTCTTCTAGACTCTGCAGATTGTTACTCTAGCTCTTCACGATTCTACAGATTGTTACTCTAACTCTTCAAGACTCTACAAATTGTTACTCTAACTCTTCAAGACTCTACAGATTGTTACTTTAACTGTTCATGATTCTACAAATTGTTACTCTAACTCTTCAAGACTCTACAGATTGTTACTCTAGCTCTTCATGATTCTACAAATTGTTACTCTAACTGTTCATGATTCTACAAATTGTTACTCTAACTCTTCAAGACTCTACAGATTGTTACTCTAGCTCTTCACGATTCTACAGATTGTTACTCTAACTCTTCAAGACTCTACAAATTCTTACTCTAACTCTTCAAGACTCTACAGATTGCTACTCTAACTCTTCAAGTAGGATATGAAAAAGAATTACCGCTCTTGCCGCCTGTAAACGTCTATTTTCCTGTTTCCACGACAACGCTGTGAAATTTTCAAAGAAGCCTCCATCAGCATCTTGGACGCTAAACAAATAAAAGACAGTTGACAATAAGAGAATGTTTATGTATATGGAAGAGTAACTTCACGAGATATTATAGCATTTGAAAAATGGGTATTAAAATTGTTGTTCATAACCTGCCCGTATGAATCACTAGAAATACAACTTTTTTTTAATTATAAATCGATCTGAGATGGAAACCGTGTTTCCTTTAACGTTTTTACCACAATATAAAATATTTGTTTCATATAATCAGAATTATACTTGTAAGAACTGAAACT